AAGTAGGTAACAACCTTGAAGACATAGGGGTAGGCAGAGAGTTCGTGAACAAAAACCAAACTGCCCATGAAACACTTGAAAGAATCAACAACTGGGATCTCATCCTACTGAAAAGTTTCTGCACATCTAAAGAAACCACCAGCAGAGTAAAAAGAAAACCCACAAATTGAGAAAAAATTTTAACTGATTGTCCCTCAGACAATGGGCTTCTATCTAGAACATATGAAGAACTAATAAACACCAGCCCCCCCAAATTCAAAGACCCAATCCAAAAATAGCAGCTGAGATGAATACACACTTCTCAGATAAAGAAATACCAATGGCAAATAAATGCATGAGAAAGTGTTCAACATTATTAGTCATTCAAGAAATGCAAATTAAAACAACATTGGGATTTCATCTCACCCTAGTAAGAATGGCTAGCATTAAGAACAACCAATGAGAAATGCTGGCAAGGCTGTGGAGAAATAGGAACTCTTCAACACTGCTCGTGGAATGCAGACTGGTGAAGCCACTATGGAAATCAGTTTGGAGACTCCTCAGCAAAGTAGGTCTAGGGGTCCCATTCAACCTAGGTATTCCCCTTCTGGGTATTTTCCCAGAAGATCTGAAAATGTGATATCACAGTGATATATGAGCACCCATGTTCATAGCAGCGCAATTTGTAATTGCTCAACTGTGGAAGCAACCCAAATGTTCATCCATTGAGGATTGGATAGAAAAATTGTGGTACTTTTATATAATGGAATATTACTCAGCTATAAAGAAAGATAAACTTGAAGATTTTGTAGGTGAATGGTCACAACTAGAGACCATACTCATAAGTGAAATAAATCAGACATGCATGTGTAAGAAGTGTACTGTCTCACTAGTGTAAGACCTGAAAGAGTGAATAAAAACTAGGTGATATGATAGGCATTGTGAAACGAAAGGAAAATGCTCAAAAGTAAAGGGCAACTGGGGTGTGGGAAAAGAGAAGGGAAAGAAGGGGAAATTATGTAAGTATGTATATACAGGACAGCTTACATAGTTTTACTACTATCTTCTATTGCTCTACAGAAAGGAACAGTTAATGATTATTTGTTTGATCAATCTTGTATGTCTCCATTTGTTTTCTTGAGAAACCACTTTGAAGATATCAATAAGTAATACAACAACCATGGTTAATTTCCTACACCTTTGTCTGTATTTCTGTTTTGTTTGTATTGTTCATATGCTATTTTGTAAATGGATGTCTGTCTGTTAATATGTTTTCTTTCTTTTATTTCTTAAAATAAAAAAATAAAATAATACTGAGTGAAATATTTACATTTAAAATTTTTGACTATCATAAATAATACCACAACAATTAGCTTCATATATAGATGATTTCTGCTGTTGAATTACTTTGTATGATAAGCTTTTTCAGTAAGGATTTCTGAGTAAAAGGTATGTACATTTCTGTGGCTCTCAAATGTTCCACAATATTGCTGTTCAAAACAGATGTCTGACCAATAGTGTCCATGTGAATGGACCAATTTTACTACTAAGCAATACTGGCTATGATATGATTTGATTGAATTACTAAAAAGTAGAATGTGTTTGCTTTGATTCCTTATTTGTGCTTTTTCCTTTGTACAAACCAATTTATATCTTTGCCTTTTGATCTCTTTTGATCCATACCCCATGTGTGTATTTCAATAAATTATTCTTCCAAAGTTAAGAATTCAGAAGATATTCCATTTAAGATTATATGTTTAACTTACCTCTATGTAACACTCAGCAATCCAAAGTTCTTTAAGTTGCAAACAAGTCTCTAATCCTGAAATTTCTTTTATGTCTTGGGCAACAATTGTAAGACTTGATAAATTAGGAAATAATGATAATCCAACTATACAGGGATATCCTGTAAAAAACATCTCCAGTTTTGAAATATCTGGTCCTTCTTGTCCAACCATCTCATAAGATAACCCATTGCACATACACTGTTTTAAAAGAAAGAAACTGAGTTTTTATCTACATTAAGTAATACAAAGAAGATATTTGTCATTAGAAATTATAGACTGTCCTTTACATTGATGTATTTTTTGTACCCCAACAAAAGAGAAAGTTGTACCACATCTATGATTTGTCTGCATTCCTAAATGTCCGGAGCAGAAGAAATATCCTTCTAGCCCCAGAAAGGATCAAGGAAATGTTCCGTTTAATCTCCTTGCAAATGTTATTGAAAAGAAATTTGATTTGACTCACCAGTTCTTTAATTATTTCTTCCTGGTTTAGATTTTCACTTTCAAACATCTTCTAAAAACAGTGGTCATAATAATATATCTGTCAAAAGAATGACAAATTTAAATAAATACTAGAATCTTCTTATCCCAAGTTGAAAGGGTCTGTCGAGCTACCTAGTTTGAACTACTACTGTGGCTTGAAATCTACACAAAACATATTACCAAACATTGTCTGAACCCTGAGGCTCACTCCACTTCTGAAGTAATTCTGAAAGTAGTTCTGTCTCTCCATTACTTCCACCCTTTGCTCTTCACTCTACCTCCTTGGTTCAAGTACAAGTGTAATTTTTCTCCTGTACAATGAGGCTTCAATACTTGAAGAAAGTAGTTGTTTCTCCTCATCACCCTTACCTTGTTCACAGTTCGTTACTTTAGTTTCCTCACCAGATATTCCTTTGTCTCCTTTGAAAAGCCTCCAGTTTATCCCGCTTATCATACAGTGGTGCCCCCAACTGAACAGTTCTCTAAGTGTAATTAGAGGCAAAAAGAAGAACCTCAGGAAAAAAAAAACAAAACAAAAAAAAAAGAAGAACCTCAGAGCTTAGCAGCTCACCTGGCAAGGTAATAAGTATTTATTACAATGAATTCACCAATTTTGCCATCATTACATATGATAATCCAATTCATTCTTAGATTCAATAAAATTAACTCAATTTTCATGATTTTAATATTATCATTGTATACTTCTAGACATTCACTATGTGAAAATACAGGAATCTTCTCTTGACATGATTTGACAAAGTGTGTAAATCCATGTACATTATCATTCCACTCTTTAAGCTTCCCCACAGATGTGTGTATGCATGTATCTATGTGTGTATGTGGCCATGCAGTGGAAAATATGAAAATGTACATATCAAATGTTTTTTGTATGAGTGACCTGGGATGTAATTAAAAACGTATGGAATGAAAGCACTGGAGAGATTCAGGAAAAAATTAAAAAGAAAAAAGTTACATTTTTTAAAAAGCATGTTTGGTAATGTAAAGTATGAACACATAACCATTTATTCATTCTGCTGTTTGGTACACATTTGGAGTGTTTCCATTTGAGAGCTTAGTGAGTGTTTCTCTGAACATTTTGTCACACAGCACATAGCTACACATCTTTACGTTTTATGCCTAGGAGTGGTATGACAAAGAAATAATGATTGTTACATACATTTATAACTCTGACATATACAAAGTTAAGCAAAAAAAGACACACATGTGAGTATATATTCCAATTCATATAAAATTTGAAAACTAACTAACCTGTGATATGAGAAGTCAGGATAGTAGTCACCTTTCAGGGTTGAGTGATTAGGAGGAAGTGAAAGACAAGATTCTATCCTGACAAAGATTTTTTTAAATCTCGGGGCTGGTTCAAAGGGCATATTCACTTTGAGAAAATAAAATGATATACCTAAGATTTGTCTGATTTCTGCATGATATACTTCAATTAATTTATACTTAAATTCTTATTTTTAAAGCACTTATATACTTGGTTTTAGTCAGTTATGCAAAATCATGTACATGTGCAGGTACATAGATAACATAAATTTTCAAGGAAAAAAGATGGTGACTTTAGTCTTGTGTTTATCTTCCCTCTCCAAATCCTACTTGAATGACTAGAGAAAGATGAAAATAAGAAATGTATAGCTGTGCTAGGGAAAGAGCATCAATTTCCAGAAATACTGAGAGACTTTTTTGCAGTGATACAGATTGCATTAGATAGAGAAAAAGATAGACAGACATACAGACAGACATGCCTTGAGAGAGTGGTGAATAGTTAGAAGAGTCAGTGTGTTGGGAATCCCAGGTCTTTGTCTCTAGTCTTACTTTCCTATGAGAGGAAGCTGAGGAGGAAAATATAAAACATATGTTGCTGAAGATCCAGCTGAAGTAAGAGACCTATGCATTTGCAGTGCCTTCAACTCCATGTGGGCTATGTGAAATTTTCTAGCAGCAATCAAAGTGAAGAAGAAAGGTGACTGCATCTATCTAAGATTTGTGATTTGAAAGGTGAAAGCTATAGAAGCATGCTGCTCCTAGCTCCCTTAATGAACTAGAGAAGACCTCAAGCCTAAAAAGAGCCTTCCCCAAATGCAAAAGAATGGCCAAGCTGGCCAATAGGACATTCACCTCTTGATGGAGTCCGAAACTTTATCTGGAAGTCCTGAGTCCATTTGTGATGGGTAAAAGCTTACGGCGACTTGTAAGTATCAGAAAGTTCTGGGCTCCTTATAATTCAGACATAGTTATGCAAATTTCAGGATTGGGGTGAAGGATATATTGGGGTTTTTTTTGTTTTGTTTTGTTTTTTAGAAGGGTATTTTGTTTTGCCAGTTTACTACTGAATTAGGATAAGCTTTTTTTCCTAAATGATGCACTGATGAAGAAAAGGGTGAAGTGAGAGATAACATGCATATTTCTATATCAAGAAAGTATAATCTCCTTGACTAAAGAGCTATTCCTTGTTTTTTTTTTTTTTTTTGGTTTTTCTCCGGTACTGGGAACCGAACTCACGATCTTGCACTTGCCAGGCAGGCACTTTGCCGCTGAGCTAAATCCCCAGCCCATATTCCTTGTTTTTAAGGAAGATGTGATACTGTAAAGGTGGATATCAATCTTTGTAATGCAATCTCAATCAGAATACCAACTAAATTTTAAAAACTCAATAACAAGAACAATAAATTTTATTCAGAAAAATAAAGTATAAAAGAATAACCAGGAAGTTTCAAAAATTTATGGGTGGAAATTTACAATATAAATAACAGTAACTGAAACAGAGTGATAGAGCTACAGGAATAGAGAGAGTTGAGGAGAACAGACTACAAAATCCAAAATTAGGCCCAAGTACATGTGATCACTTGGCGCACAATGAAGGAAACAGTTCAATTCCTTCTGGAGTAGGTGTCACGGATACAGATAGATTACTCCAATCCTTATTTGATGGCTTTGGAGCTTTTAAGGCAGGCTTTGCCCCTTGCATGCCAGTGCTCATAGACATTTAATGCTCATAGACATTTAACCAAAATACACGGGATTTTCTTTGCTTTTATAAAAGCAAGGTCAATCATAATGTCCCAAATGCCAAACACTGGGTGTGTTTCAGCTCTCAGCCTGACTTTGATGTGGCATTTGGCAATGCTGATGACTCTTAAGTTTTTTTCTTTGATTTGTTTTTCCTTGGTTTTCTCTTTACTTGTTACTCAAAAACTATAATTTGTTTCAAATCAACTGTTTTCTTCTTGGTGAGGAATTATGAACCTTTCTCTTTCTCTTTCTTGTGCAACAAATCCAGCTGCCCACACTGGTTCTCCAAGTCCAGTACCTGAATGGTGCTGAAGGGGCTGCAAAGGTGACTGTGGTCCCCTTCCTTTCTTCAGTCCCTTAAGTCACCCTGACGGCCTCTAAAGCCTCCCTGTCTCTCCTGGTTATTATCTCCTCTGCAGCGTTGTGGAGGTCCCTTGACCACAAGATTCCCGGTGCCCGCCTACAGAGGACAGATGCCTGAAGCCCACAGGTGACCAACGCTCACCTTATCCAGAGGAGGAGTCTGGGCAATCCAACACAGGTCCACCCTTGCCCCAGGCCTGGTGTGTACCCAACGCAGTTGCCTAGGAAACCAGTGCTCCACCCCCGCGAACTTGGTGTGGGGAGCAGGGGGCGAGGGGGCGGGGAGAGCCCGAGTGAGAGCCGCGTCTGCATCACGCGACAGCAACCCCGACCAATCAGCAGAGCGAGGGGGCCACCGGAAGACCCCGCGAGGGTTCCTGGGAGGGGGCGGCCGCTTCTCGCGAGGGACTCGGAGTCTCTGCGCCCCCGATCCTGGCAGGAGGACCCGGGAGTGCCCGGCGATGGGCGGGCTGGCGGAGACCTGGCCTTGCCTCCTCCGGTCTCTGCTCTCCGACCTGGAAACTGCTGGACCCATGGACCCCGGCGTTCGGGTCTTGAGGCCGGGCACTGTGATGTCACCGCGGCCCGATGCTGGGCGGGCCCGGCTTCGCGATCGCCGCCTTCCCGGAGCCGGAGCCTCCTCTCGTCCTCGCCGGGCTGTCGGCGCCTTTAACACTTGCAGGGTGCCCAGGAGGCGAAGCTTCTTAGAATGCAGAATTTGTAGGGGCAAGAGGCTTTGCAGAAGCGGGCAGAGGGGCTGGGAAATAAATGGACGCAGCAGGGCACACCGATCACTGCTGCCCTCGCTTCCTCCCGGAGACCCGCGCTGGCCTCAGCCCGCGTGCCCCGAGGGACTGGAGAGTGGCGGGTCCGCCCTGCGAACACGTTGGGTTTTGAAGGCGTGCATGAAAATAACGAAACCTGTTACGCTAACGATTTTATGTTAATTACATGGTGAAATACTATTTTGGTAGATTAGATGAAAAGGTGAAATTATTGTTTGTACTTTGAAAATGCAGCTTCAAAAACTATCTGCGCGTATCACTCGCATTAGTTTTCTTTTAGACGACGCGGCTCTTTTTTTGTGGTCCAGTGGGTGGGTTAGGATACTTAAGACTTTCAAGTCTTGCACAATGTCTGCAGTGCTCTGCCATCACGAGATGGCTGCCCCATTTGACAGACTGGTTTTAAACTGCTCCCTCTAGAAAAATAGTTCAAATTTTAGAAATACCTCCACTATCCTAACCACTTCTAACCACTATCAAGAGTTCCACAAATTTTCTGAGATTGAATAGACTTTATCTGTAATATTGACTGTAAATACAAACACATAGAAAAGGTAATTTTCCCTTTATAGTTTTCAAAGAAAATTGTTTCCATCTGTGATCAATAGATTAAAAGTAAGCTGCTTAAAATATTTGTGCTTAAGGGCTTCAAATTAGTACTTATCTCTGAAAATCTAAAACAAGATGACCGGGGTTCGGGAACATGTGTTTTCCCCTAAAATATAAAGAGTGCAAGACAATAATTTACATTTCTAAACTTTTAAGTAAACTGGATCATGTATAAGGTGAATTATCTATGTCAAATTTCTCATTTGGAGAATACATGGAGATGAAAGTAGAGTTTACCCAAATATATCGCTTTGTGTATTTTCAAACTATAGAAATCTGTTCTGATTTTCCTAAATAATGAAAGGCAGTGGAAGAACTAACACAGTTTTCTTGGTACAGTATTACATAGAGTAAATAGAACAATATTATTATCTTTAGGTAGAGCTCAAAGATTTGGCCTGTCTGGGTCAATTCCTGTATGACTGTAGACTGATAACCACTGATTAACAGTTGGCTCTCTGTTCACACATTCCAAATGTTACTTAGAGCTCACAGTTAAAAACCACAGGAGGAACACAAAAACAGTGACCATTTTTGTTAATCTCGTCTCACTTTAAAGTTGCTTTATGATATGGTTTTATGGGTCAATACAAAAAAAAAAAAGAAAATTGAAACCACTAACAGTCAAGCAGGTTAAGTAATCATTAAAAGTGAACAAATACTTCATTCATCTCTCTATTCATACTCTTACACAAAGGCCACTCCTTATAAATTTAAATGTTTATTTATGGGGAAAAGATTACCTTGAAACAGCTGGGAAGATATGTTACTCCTAGAAGTAGCAGGCTTATTTCATCAACACCTGAAGATTCATTTATTATAACAAAATACAGGTGACATACAAATGAGTACTTTCCAGCTAATGATTTAATTAGATTACCTGTAAAAGTTCACTGTCTCATGTTTTAAGTTTTATATTACAGAACCCATAGGGCTGGGGATATAGCTCAGTGGTACAGTGCCTGCCTTGTAAGGATGAGGTCATGAGTTCGATTCCCAGTGCCACAAAAAAAAAATTATAGAAACCGTAAACGCAGCACAACTCAGGATTAACTCTGGCGGGGGAAGACACAATTATGTGGTGTCTATGAAGTGGTTATCAGAGGCTGTCATTGTCTAACAATGACTGTTAATAGCCCATAGGAAGGATACATTAAGACCCAATTAAAAGTTGAGAATTGTTCAGTTTTAATTAGGCCAAGAGGATACTTTTTTTTTTTTTTAAGAGGATACCATTTCTAAACGTTCTTCAAAAAAAAGTTAGTCTTTGTGATTTGTTGATATATAATTAATGGACAATATTTTCATAAAAGGCAGCCAAACTGGAGTAGTGAAAAAGCACTGCCACTCTTTCCAACAATTTAACGTCTTTATTTTGCCACCACCATTGTTTTATGTGTATTTCGCTCTCCAGCAGCACTTGAGGGACAGCGAATTTAAGCTGGGATAACAGCCTTAATTTGTGAGACAGCTGAACAGTTCTTTGTGTGGGAGAACTTTTTCCTCACTCCTTTTTTTTTTCCTGTCCATTTTTTGAGCCCTACGCTTAGAAAGTCAATTGTATTCCTCAGGTCCAAGCACCTTATTGTCATTGGTCCATATAAGCCCCTTTTTGGGGGGATCAGACCCAGGACCTTTGGCCTGAGCTACACCCCCAGCCCTTTTATGTTTTTGTTCTGATACAGGGTCTTACTAAGATGTTAACTTGGTGGGTTGGGATTCAGTAAACATTTGCTCCTCCTGCCTCAGTCTTCCAGAGTGCTGGGCTCACAGGTTTGTGCCACTCCTTCTCTTCAATATTTTTCCATACCCTACACCATCCCAAACATAGGCACAAGTCTAACGGTTCTTATAAATCTTTACATTTATACTTAAAAATCAGGCAGTGTGCTTGTGTGTGCATGCTGTGTGTATTGATAACTGCATGCATACATGAAACCCACAATCAAAAGATGATTCTTGAGCTGTGCAGGGAAGGAGGTAAGGAGTAAGTTATAATGAAGTTGGGAAAGTATATGCAAGAAGAAGGAAAAGCAGTGCAAGTGCTCTTTAAAGCGAAAGTGCTGGGTGTTTTCCAAGTTCAGTAAATACTCGGTACACTGTAGCTGGAGCAGAGTAGCAAATGGTCGCGTGAGAGAAGATAATGTGAGAGAAGAAATGGGGAGTTGCATCATGTGGGACTTTGTAGGCTGTTATGTGGACTTCGTCTTTTATTCTGAGTGCAAAAGGAAGCTATTAGAGGGTTTTGAGTAGAGGAGTGGTCAGGTTTGACCTAATTTTCAAATGAATGCTCTGGCTTTTGTGTGTCCAAAGTGGGGCAACAGCAGAAGCAGTTATGCATAGAGCGATCATATAATGTATCATTCAATTGGTACAACTTTTAAAAAGAAAGGAATACCTTAATAATTATTCCAGGACAAAAAGCAAAAGCTGGAACTGTGTACCGGAAAACCAAGATGTGTGACCATACTAGTCATAGAGTACTGTGATACTCAAGGCAAGAGTTCTTGGTGGCTTGGACAATGATGGTGACAGCAAAATAGGTGAGAGGTAGTTGCATTCTGTAATCCTAGCACTCTGAGTGGCAAGGGTGGGAGGATTATAAGCTTGAGCCAGGTCTGGGCAATTTAGTGAGTTAGCAAGACCTTTAAAATGTAAAATAAAAAAGGGCTGAGGATGTAGCTTAGTGAGAAGGCCCTGGATTCAATGCTCAGTACTGCAAACAAATTAGTAGAGTAAGCTTTTTTGTCTTTCCAACTTGCTCATCTAGACCTTTGTTGATGGTTCCTCCACCCAGATGTCAGGCTGCTGGCTCTTTGTGGGTGCTCTGTCATTTATACAACAGCTCTTTATGTGGGCGTTATCATTGATGCTTGCATTCTGTTTGGCCCGTAGCCAAACAAACCTAAACATGCCCAAATAAATGAATAAATAAATGACTGCATACTGTCAGAGTGATTTACCACCACCTCAGTCTCTAGACAAATTCTTGCAAATCTGTCCTACTATGGAAATCAGTTGTAACTTGTAGAACTGTTTTAAAGGTCTGAAGACATACCATATAGAGAGCCCTTCCCAGTTCTCTTCATGGCCCAGGAAGTTTATACTTGTAATCCCATGAAAGGTTATTGGAATTCTAGCAAGTTAATTCCAATCTACCTCTTCCAGTGCAACCCATGGTGAAAACAAAGACACTAAAGCATATTTGTAGTTACAGGGAGCTGTTATGGTTTGTGTCTGCATGTCCTCCCAAATCCTCATGCAGTCATGGGGTGAGTTTCTAGATTTATGACTGATCCATAGTCCAATGCTGGGATTATGGGTGTGAGTACTACACCAGCCCCTGGGGCAGATAGTTTACACATGTAAGGGAGAGAAAGAGGCTGCTTCCCGCCTGCTCCTCCATTTTGCTCTTGCTGCTTTTGCTGTTTTGTGCCACATGAACTGTAGCCCTCTACCATGTGCCACATTGCCTTGGAGTCAGCTGAGTATGGACTGAAACCTTGACAAACTGTGAGCTAAATAAATCTTTCCTTCCTTAATTTTGGGCTTTGGGTATTTTGTCCCAGCAACAAGAAAAAAGTAAAGAAAGGAGCTAAAGGATCCTAAGTTCAGCCATCATGATGGCTATCTGGAACAAAGGCCTCGACTCAAGGCCAAACCCAGTTTTTATTCATTTATGAAGAAGGGAGTGGCTTGAGGATGAGAGACTGTGAGAGTGGCAGGAACTATGTGAGTGCCATGAGCTGGGCTAGGTAGGAGGCCTGAAATCACTCCTGCCATATGCAGAGAGAAGGATATGCAGAAAGAGTAATCTGCATAACACAATTGAGATAG